TTCCAGGATATCCACTGCCAGGACAGGAGAGGTTGAGGGGACTCCCCTGTGTCCTTCCCCCGTCCCCAAGGACTCCTGGGGCACATCCCACTGCCCGAGCATGGACATGGCAGCGCCAGGGGGATGGTACCTTGCAGCGGCAGGTCCTCGGTGGAGATGGGCTCCAGCGTGGTGGCACGTGGCAGCCTGCTGCTCGCTACTGCGCGCTCAGCCACGATCTGCAAGAGATGAGGGTCCCAGAGCCTCCCCTCACCCCGAGACCCCCTGAGCCGTGCCCGCACCTGCCGTGACCCCTGCATCCCACCTTGGAGCACATCTCGTGCAGGGCCTTAGCAATGCCCTTGGCAGGCACATTGCAGTGGAAGACATGACACTTGAGGACGCAGGTGTCCTTGTCACTGGCCACGAAGGCGAAGTCTCTGCAAGGCCACAAACAAAGCCAGTGAGACTCTGGCAGAGGCAGCGTCCTCCTCCCTGTGCTGCCCACCGGCCATGCACCCCCTTACCTGTCCCTGCAGCCACAGCGGCAGTCAGGGAGGGAGGAGAGGGGACAGGGTACTGCTGGGGGGCCTGCCCCCAGTGGCCGCCCCCGGCGCGCCCCCCCCCCCTGCCGTTGTTGCAGCCAACGCCCCAGACACGGATGTTGAGGATGGGCTGGTGGTGGATGAGGCTGCGGTCAAGGGGGTTCACCAGGCTCATGGTGTCCTTCTTCAGGATCATCACCAGGTCCTGGCCCTGCAGAGGGGTCAGTGGCTCCCTCAGCCTGGCAGACAGCTTGGGTGTCCCCAGCACCCAGCCCACATGTAGGGACACCCTTGGCCCCCAGGCTACTTAGCCCCAAGCATGGGGACAGCCCTGTTCCCCCCCACAGCCCTCTCCAGGCACCGTTCCCATGTGTGGGGACAGCCCACTCAGGCACTCCTGGCGCTGTACCCAGGGGACAGCCCTGTCAGACCCACCTGCCCCACTTGGGACCACAGTGGAGAGAGTTGACTGCCACTGGTGCCAGTCCCTAGCCCCCTCAGGCACAGTCCCCGTTGGTGAGGACAGCCAGCCTCAGCAGCAGTAGCTCTCACCTCGCCCCGGTTCTCTGCAGAGCCCTGGCCCTTGCTGTTAGAGAGCTGCTGGATGCAGTTGTTGACGGCGATGCTGCTCTTGCCAGGTGCCAGGTCCTCCTCGGGGATCTCCACCCAACCCAGTGAGCGCACAGCGAAGCACTGAGCAGAGACACACGGGGCTTCAGTGCCTGGCCAGCACAGCCACCCCCGTTATGCGCCCCTCACTTTAACAGTGTGGTTACCCCTGTGCTTGCTCCCATCCCTGTCCCTGCCACCTGCCACGTGCCCCCTCCTCTGCCAGTCTCAGCCCACAATGCCACAGTGAAGTCCCCAGGTGCTGTACCTTGGAGCCAGGCTCTGTGCTGTGCTGGAAGTCATCTGTTTGCCAGGGCAGTGAGGTCCTGTGGAGGAACAGGGTGGTGAGGGGATGGCTCCCACTTGGCAGCATGGACCTGCGGCACCCAGGGAAGTGCCAGGATGCCCGGGCACTGGCAGACCCCCATGCCACCAGCTGAGTAGCGTCTCGTGGAGGTGCCCAGCATGGTCCTGCTGGCTCCAGCATGTGGGCCTGCTCTGGTGGAGGGCACCGTGGCCCAGCACCCAGTGGTGGTCAAGGGTCAACGGTGACCCACAAACCAGCAGAGCGTGGGGGCAGCCCTACCTCCAGGACAGCCATGGGGTGGGGAACGGGCCTGTCCTTTGCCAAGTGCTTCACCACAGGGGCCTGGCCGTCCTGGGAGAGAAGAGGAAAGGGGTGAGGGCAGCAAAAGGGGCTGTCAGGAGGCACCAGGTAGGAGACCCCCTTCCAGGACAGCAGCACCTCAGCTTGTGGGCATCCCATGCTGCCAGGATGAAGCCAACATGGGGCCTGCTGGTGCCTTTCAAGGGGCTGAACCTTGGCCAAGAGTGGGCTGAGCAGGACTTTGGGGAGACAGAGACAGGCCTGCTCCAAGGGGAGGCTGGACCAGCAGTGCCCAGAGGGCCCTTCAGCAGGCAGGGGCCTGGGATCCAACACCAGTGCTCACCCCCCTGCCCACAACCCCTACCATTCCCTGGAGTGTCTCCTCTCCATCCGCCTCTGGGTGTCCTCCTGGACCGGCGGTGTGTGTAGGGTGCTGCCACTGTGTTGTACCAGTCGGCACATGCCAGTAGTAGGTGCCTAGAGAGTCACAGATTTTCCTCCAGCCTGGGGGTAGGTCGGGGTCTGTCTCCAGACTCTGGTCACTCCAGAGGTTGTCTGTGCAGAGGGAGAGTTGGGGGGAAGGTTGGGGGGAAGGTCCCCCAGCTGCAGGGCACTCTGAGAAGCGAGTAGATTAATCCAGCAGCAAAAGGGTCCTGTGGTGGCCTCTGGGTGCGCAGCTGGGCACGTGGCCCAGGAGGAGAGCACAGTGAGGCTTGGCACAACGCCAGAGAGACTGCGGTAGTGGTGGACCCCAGGCAAGTGGCCAGTGCAGAGTGCAGGCAGCTGCCTCATTGGCGCCTGGAAGGACGGGGCGAGCCCGGCAGGGGCACAGAGAGTCCAGGCAGCCTGAGCCTGCCAGGGAAGGCACCCTGCAGGGTGCCCAGGCAGGGCTGCTGGCTCAGAGTCCCCCTTGCCAGCATGCAGTTCCCAGCCCTCTGCCAACACCCCAGGATGCCCGAGACTGGCTTCTTCCCAGCTTGGCTGGGGAAGGGTGGCGGGGACAGAGGAAAGCACCCTTGGAGGGCTGCAGCTAGAAGAGGTAGATCAAACCCCTCCTCCCTGCGCCCCCGGCCCTGAGCAGGTCACGGGAACGA